CTGCTCTGTGCTCCTTCTTGCCCCCATTAGGGTTTGACAGTAACAAAGTGTCAACCTGGAGAGGAGATTTGAGGAAGTCCTAAAGCTGTGAGGCATTCCCACTGTGCCTGCTGGGAAAGCCCTTGTCCAGGAGCCTTTAGCAAAACACGAACTCACAATAGCTGATTCTGCATCAGCTTTTACTTTTGATTAATTTCCTATTTCCAAGGCAATAGGAGGAAACTGATAACAAAAAATAAATAGGTCTTCCAGGGTTAAACTCCTAACTCATTGATAATGTTCTCCATACTGGAGGGAGGTATCCTGAACCTCACAAATTGGCACTGTGAGCTTAAAGGCTTTTATGATTTTAGCAGTAATAATGAGCAGAAATAGAGGCTAAATTATTAGAAGAATAGGCTACATTCCCTGACAAAGTATCAATATGTCATAATGACAAAAATAGTGGAAAATGCTCATGAATACTAGTAAAAATGACTCAGTTCTAGTAGAATTCTGTTTTCCATGTTCTTATTTACATGTTATAATTTTATAACCTAAGATAAATCCAGTATTTATAATAGTTATCCTTTATTTTAATATTAAAAATCAAATTGTTTTTGCCCGTTTGTTGTTTCTAATCATCCCAAATAATGAAATTGCAAAAACAAATGTCCTAGTTTATTAGGTCATGGTTGATTTCCTCCATAATACTTTAACTTTAGATCACAAAAATCATCATAATAATATAAAAGGCACTACAGGGTTACATATCGCATTTAGTACAATATTTTCATTTGGATCTGAGAGCACCAATTCATTAAATGATTGATGAACTCTTCAGCACACTGCTTTTCTTTCTGTCATTAAATCCTGATGAAAATATCGTATTTCCCTGATAATGTTTTAAACATGAGTCACTACAAAATAACAAACTGAAGAATAACACTCAAATGTAAGGACCTTTACTCTAAAGCAATATTTAAAATATCATCACAGTTCATCGTCATCTGGATCATAACTTTGTTTTTGAATTGTATATTTAATAAAAAATGTGATTTGATCAAGCATTCAACCCTTCCCTCCTCCTGCCCCGATGACCTCACTTTATGTTTTATTAATTCCATAATGACAAGTCTGTAGGGAGCGATTACCAGTGCAACTGTTACGAGAAACACTTCACGGCAGGCGCCGTTCTGTGCAG